TGTTTCCCCATGTTCACACCGCACTCCTGTTTCTTCCGCTGTTTTGTTCTTGTTACCTTTTTCATTTTAGTCATTCTGTAGAGATGCAGTGTTATTGCGTTGTTGTTGTTGTTTTTAGAGAGTTAGAAACATCTCTCCCATTGATGTTTCTAGCTCTATCCCTTTCCCTTCCTCTCTGTGAAAAATCAATAAAATATATTTTAAAAAGAAAGAAAAAAGAAATAAGAAAAAAAGAACAAATTAAATCCAAAGCAAACAAAGAAGGAAATAAGAAAGATTAGAGCAGAAAATTATGAAGTTCAGAACAAAAACAGTACAGAAAAACCATTAAAATAAATAAACCTCTAGACAGACACAAGGAGAAAAGTTCTGCCTTGGCACTTCCCCTGGCTGCTCCCTCTGCCTGAAATGCTTGGACTGTTCGTTTTCCTGCCTCCGGACCCCTTTCCAGGCCACTCCACCAATTAGCTCAATGTCTTCCCACCCTTTGTGTGTCTCTCTCCCCCATGGCTCCATACCACTTACTGCAACCTGTCATTTGTTATGTCTGAAGCAATACACTGACTCTATGGCCCTGTAGATTGTAATCGGCTAACAGCTTTCTCCTTCCCCCTCCCCCTGAGTCAGCCTATGGGCTAGTTCCTTGCTTGTCTCCCATGCCCGCAGGAAGGTCTCAGAGTGTTATCAGCAATCTCTGGTATAAAGAGTCCTCCAGAAAAGAATTTAGTTTGAAAGTATTTAGTTTAGCCCTGGCCAGTGTTGCTAGTGGTTAGAGTGTCAGCCTGCGCACTGAGGGTCAAGGGTTCGCTTCCTGGTCAAGGGCACATACCTCGGTTGCAGGTTCCATCCCTCCACTACTTCCTGTAATAACGGCTCCTTGCCATGTCCCTCTGCAGCTACTCATCCAAAGGCGGAGTTTGTCCCTATACTCTTGAATCTGGGTTGGCCTGGTGACTTGCTTTGCTCAGTAGAACAGGGTGAAAGCAAGTGTGCCCCAACCTCAGGACACCTTGCACACGCTGCTCTCAGTCCTAGATCCTGCCAGCAAACAAGCTGTGGCTCTCACCTTGAATTTATGGTAAGCCTCCACTAGGCCTCAGTGCTAGCTGACCATGTGCTATTTTTCCGCCTGGAGCGTGCAGAACCGGTTACACAGACCTTATAAGGGTATGAAGACATGGCCAGTTATGAAGGTACCCATTTGCATCTCTATTTCTGTATGTCCCTTTCCTAAAACTGATATGCCCGTGAACTGTTTGTAGATTCTCATTTCTCTCTTCTGCTTAGGTTACTGAAATCAAGGGGTTCACCACTGGGGTGCTATTAAAAAGTGAGCCCCTTGGCCAGCCGACTGGTTCAGTGTTTGAGCTTTGACCTATGACGCAGGAGGTCATGGTTCAATTCCCAGTCAGGGCATATGCCTGGGGTTTGGGCTTGATCCCCAGTGTGCATGTGTATGGGGTGGGGGGCATGCAGAAGGCCGCCAATTGATGTCTCTCATCATTGATGTTTCTATATCTCTCTCCCTTCCTCTCTGAAATAATATATATATTCTATTAAATGAGGCCCAAAGTTGCAGGTTCAATCCCCAGTCAGGGCACATACAAGAATCAACCAATGAATGCATAAATAGGTAGAACAACAAATTAATCTCTCTCTCTCTCCCACTTCTTCCTTCTCTAAAATCAATTTTTAAAAAATATATTTTATTGATTTTTTACAGAGAGGAAGGGAGAGAGAGATAGAAACATTGATGAGAGAGAAACATCAATCAGCTGCCTCCTGCACATCCCCTAGGATGTGCCCACAACCAAGGTACGTGCCCTTAACTGGAATCGAACCTGGGACCTTTCAGTCCACAGGTCAACGCTCTATCCACTGAGTCAAACTGGTTTCGGCTAAAATCAATTTTTAAAGAAGATAAAAATAAAAAGAAACATAGTTGTCAAAACATAGTTTTATTTATTGCTGGGAGTAACGGAGACAGGGGATTCCCATCCAAAGCTCTGCCTCCGGGAAGGGAGACTTAGTCACAGCTATATACACTATTTGGTCAGTTACATGTTGACTTCTTCTTTGGAATTGGCTATACTTATCAGGCTGGGCTCCTGCCAAGGTTATTCTGTTTACAGCCGGTCTGCAAAACACTGTGCTACATTTTAACAGCAAGAAGAGTGTTTAGTAAGAACGGTTCAGACCTCGAGATCCCTGTCCTAACACTTTCCTATTGCCCACTTGTCATTCTCCCAAGGTAGGGAAATGTAAAGACATCTGGGCTGCCAAACCAAAGAACAATTAAAAATAATTTTTTATTGATTTCAGAGAGGAAGGAAGAGGGAGAGATAGAAACATCAACGATGAGAGAATCATTGATCAGCTGCCTCTAATAATTGACTAATGAATCCTTTAGCAAGTCAAGAGCCTTCTAATTCTTTGCTCTAAACCACATGTGTCAAACACAAGGCCCGCGGGCCAAATCCGTCCCGCCAGGCCTTACAATGTGGCCCGCACCGCGCTGTCATCACTGCACTCTGCTGCGTTTCCATCACAATGACAGTTTATGACTGTTCAGTAAACCATTCGGCCCGCGATTTAGGCTGGATTTTAGATTTTGGCCCCTTCTCTGATTGAGTTCGACACCCCTACTAAACAAAATGAAAAGAGGATCTAATTGATTTGTTTGCTTGAATATCATTACAAATAATTCTAATGATGGCTCATTATGTGATTTTTGGCATATATTTCAGAAGGAGTTCAAAGAAGTGTGTGTCATTCTGTAATAAAAGGATTTCCATTCCTACTTACTTATTTTTTAAAGATTGTGTGTCTATGACTGAGCTGAAACAGAGCAGACCAGCAAGGAGTAGAGCAGACCGCTGAGGAGCAGAGCAGAGCGGTAGCTGGAGAGGGGCCGCCTGACCCCAGGACTGCCTCGCATCTGTCCTGTTTTCAGAGCTGTGCTCTATCACAATTGAGTTATTTTGCAATGAATAAAGTTTCCTTCTTCAAACTTCCCCCCATATATAATATATATATATTCAGAGAGGGAGGGAGAGGGGGAGAGAAATAGAAAGGTCAATGATGAGAATCATTGATCGGCTGGCTCCTGCAAACCCCACACCGGTGATTGAGGCCACAACCTGGAAATGTGCCATAACTGGGAATCGAACCATGACCTCCTGGTTTATAGGTTGATGTCCAACCACTTAGCCACACCAGCTGGGCACTGTTTCTTTTTAGTAAAAGCTATCTGAATTTAATGGCCTTTTTGTTTAATTAATTAATTAATTAAATTAATTAATTAATTAATTAAACAAAACAAATAATTATTAGTTTGGGCCCTGATCCAGGGTTTTTAGGCTTATAATGTGAATTCCTCTGGCGGCAGGGATGATAATAAGAGTTGACTCTAAACAAAATTGGCTCTGGCTGGCTTGGCTCAGTAGAGCATCGACCTGTGGATCCAAGGGGCTTGGGTTTGATTCCTGGTCAAGAGCATGGACTTTAATTATAGGTTCCCCAGGCCCTCCCTGGGGCACATGCAGGAGGCAGCCAATTGATGTGTCTCTCTCACACTGATGTTTCTTCCCTTTTCCCTCCCTTCCATTCTCTCTAGAAATCAATGAAAAAATATCCTCAAGTGAGGATTTTAAAAAAATTGTTACATCCTTTGTATTGTTTGGGGTGAACAAAATCTACCCAAGTAAACAAGGTCCTCCTATTAAGGTAAAAATAAAGTTGAGCTAAGAGACCCTAAGGCTCCAGGTACAAAGTCCATTACACACACACCTGTTCCCAGGCGGCTGGCCCACCACTTACCCAGGAGCCAGATCTCCACCGGGCGTCAGTTCCCTCAGGAACCTCAGTCAGGGCCTGGGGGAGAGTCAGAAAAAGCCTTCCACCCTTGCTCCACGACAACCTCCTGAAGAACATTTTCCACCGCAGTTCAGATTGGGATCTCACTCTTCCTTATTATCGCCCCACTGGTTAAATCCCGATCACACACTCTCGCCCTGCGGGCCAATCAGGGTCTTTCTTTCCTCTTCTCCTTTTGTTATTTTTAATTAATTTATTTTTATTTATAAACCTCGCCTTGTGCTCCTGCAACTCTTGTTCCCACCAGCCTCAGTAAGAGAGTCCCACCCTGCCTGGCCAGTGTGGCTCAGTTGGTTGAGCATTCTCCCGTGCACCAAGAGGTCACCAGTTTGATTCCGGGTCAGGGCACATACCTGGATTGTGGGCTTGATCCCCAGTAGGGGGCATGCAAGAGGCAGCTGATTGATGCTTTTCTCTCTCAGAAATGTTTCTCTCTCTCCCTCTCCCTTGCTCTTGCTCTCTAAAAGTCAATAAAAACACATTTTTTTTAAAGAGGGAGTCCCTCGCCGAAACCAGTTTGGCTCAGTGGTAGAGTGTCAGTCTGCGGACTGAAAGGTCCCAGGTTCGATTCCAGTCAGGCACATCCCCGGTAGGCGGCTGGTAGATGTTTCTCTCTCATCGATGTTTCTAGCTCTCTATCTCTCTCCCTTCCTCTCTGTAAAAAAGTCAATAAAAAAATATATTTTTTTATATTTTATTTATTTATTTTAATATATTTTATTGATTTTGTACAGAGAGGAAGGGAGAGAGATAGAGTTAGAATCATCGATGAGAGTCATCGATCAGCTGCCTCTTGCACACCCCCTACTGGGGGATATGCCCGCAACCAAGGCACATGCCCTTGACCGGAATCGAACCTGGGACCCTTCAGTCCCCAAGCCGACGCTTTATCCATTGAGCCAAACCGGTCTCGGCGATAAAATATATTTTTTTAAAAATAATAAAAGAGGGAGTTACACCCAGGTGCGTTCTCCCCCCAGGAGCATGGGGCACCTCTCCTCTCCCCCTTCTCTTCCCCACAGGCGCACATCTCCCAAGATACTTGCAACCAGGGGGGCAGTGGGCAGAGCAGCTCATCCTAGAACCTGTCTCCAAGGCCCCCTTCCTCTGACTTATCAGTGAGCCAGAGCAGCCCTGCCTCAGCTCATCTTTCCTACATTTCTAGAGCCCCACCAGGCTCTCCTGCTGCTGCTTCTATTCTTCTACCCTGAGCCCTTCCCTGTCTCACTGTCCCCAGTTCTCTCTCTCTCTCTCTGGAATTAGGGTCAAGCCAGGCAGGTGCAGGACCTGCAGCTACCACGCCCCTTAATCCTGGCATTGCTGAGCACAGGTGTCCATCCCAGCTCCCTGACCCAGCCAGCTGTCGGGCTGCAGGTTAGGATGGCAGAGGAGGAGGGTTATGAGGGCGAAGAGGATGTGTTCCTGGCTTTTGCCCAGGGACCATCTCCTCCCAGGGGTCCCATACGGCAGGCCTTGGACAAGGCCTTCTTTATATTCCTGGCCCTCTTTCTGACCCTACTGATGCTGGAGGCTCTTTACAAGCTCCTGTGGCCACTGCCATGGGCAACATTTGGGGAATGGCTTCTGGGAACACCTCAGAAGGAGGATGAGCTGGAACTGTGACCACCTTTTCCATAAACACCCTCTTACCCTGGAGGAGGTGAGAGGGGAGATGGGGGAGGTGGGACTGTTGGGAACTATGGAGGGGACACTTGGATAGTTAAGAGCAGCTGTCTAAAATTTCTGCACCTATACTCCAGGAAACTATTTAAAAGTTAGTGCTTTTCACATATTTTTAAGTAAGCATCTAAATTTTTTTCATCATTGAAATTGTTTCAAGGATGTAATTCCTGGCATATTGAAAATATTCACATTTTAGCCCTATTTTTTCTCAGTGGTTAGAGCACTGGCCCTCAGACTGGGTCTGCGGTTCCATTCTGGTCAAGGGCACATACCTGGGTTGCAGGATGAGCATGTGCAGGATATAATCAATTGATGTGCCTCTCTCACATCGATGTTTCTCTCTCTCTCCCCTCCATCCCTCCCTCCCTCCCTTCAACTCTCACTTAAAAAAATCAATGGGGAGCAAAAACCGGTTTGGCTCAGTGGATAGAGCGTCAGCCTGTGGACTGAAAGGTCCTGGGTTCGATTCCGGTCAAGGGCATGTGCCTGGGTTGCGGGTACACCCCCAGTAGGAGGTGTGCAAGAGGCAGCTGATCAATGATTCTCTCTCATCGATGTTTCTAACTCTCTATCCCTCTACTTTCCTCTGTAAAAATCAATAAAAAGGGTAATATGCTAATTAGAGCAGATATACCTATATTCTGGACATCCTTCCTGACAAAGCCAGGGCCCAAGCAAAGTTGCCCAGGGTCCCAGGTACCTGTGGCCGGCTGGAGGAGGAAAGCCTGAGTCCCAGGTACGAGGGTTGAGGCAGAGGCAGTTAGGGGTGATCAGGCTGGCAGGTGACCAGTTACAGGTGATCAGGCTATCAGGCAGGCAGGCAGGCGAGCAGTTACGAGCCAGTGTTCCTGATTGCGAGAGGGATGTCCAACAGGGGTCTTCAAACTACGGCCCGCGGGCCACATGCGGCCCACAGAGTCTGATCCGGCCCGTCAGGTTTTTTGGGCAGTGAGCGCAGCCGAGGTGTTACAGTAGGAATTAGTAGTTCATATAGTCCAGCCCTCCAGCTCTCTGAGGGACCGTGATCTGGCCCCCACTTTAAAAAGTTTGAGGACCCCTGGAACTTACCATTATAGGCCGGATCCCATAGGAATCCCAAGAGGATGCAGGCGGGGCTGAGGGATTTCCCCCCTCTGTGCACGATTTTGTGCACTGGGCCTCTAGTTTTTAAATAAGACAATTAAATTACACTTTTGAATATCCAGAGGAATTGAAATATCAGAATTGGAACATTAAAAATACATAAAGCCCTAGCTGGTTTGGCTCAGTGGATAGTGTTGGGCTGGGGACTGAAAGGTCCCAGGTTTGACTCCCAGGCAGGACACATGCCTGTGTTGTGGGCTTGATCCCCAGTGTGGAATGTGCAGGAGCCGCCAATCAATGATTCTCTCTCATCACTGATGTTTCTATCTCTCCCCCTCTCCCTTCCTCTCTGAAATCAATAAAACAAAAAAGCGTATGACTTTAAAAAAAAATAAGCAAGCTCTCTACATTTGGGAAACATTTTCTTCTTTTCCTCCTTGAACTCCTACAACCATTCCACTTTTCCAGAGACAATTTTATGCTTTTATACTTGAAAGTCTCTGATGAAAAATATTTTTCTTCCTTGTGACCAAAATTTTAGTTTTTAAAAAATTTCTTCAGGGTTACCATTACAACTGTAATGACAACAGAACTGATCAAATAGCATGAAGATTGTTAAAAATTTTTAAATACATTTTTATTTTTAAATTTATTTTATTGATTCTTTACAGGAAGAGAGAGGGAGAGTTAGAAACATCGATGAGAGAGAATCATCAATCAGCGGCCTCTTGCACACCCCCAACCAGGGATGTGCCCGCAACCGAGGTACTTTGCCCTTGACTGGAATTGAACCTGGGACCTTTCATTCGCAGGCTGACGCTCTATCCACTGAGACAAACCACTTTCTGCTAAAAATAATTTTTAATAAGTAGATGCGGTGGTGTTTATGGTGCCTACATATCTGTTTATTTAAGACAAGGTAAGATTATCTCTAAGCAAATTCTTGGTTGAGAACTGTACTTTTTAAAAATATATATATTTTATTGATTTTCCACAGAGAGGAAGAAAGAGGGATAGAGAGCTAGAAACGTATAATAGATGAGAGAGAAATAGATGAGATGAGCGGAATCGAACCTGGGACCTTTCAGTCCCTAGACCAACGCTCTATCCACTGAGCAAAACTGTTTTCGGCGAGAACTGTACTTTTATTTTTTTAAGAGGAAGAGTCTATTGTAAAAAGGGAAAAGGAAAGAAAAGAGCCCCCACTGGAGGAATTTACTCGGGAAGACTAATTTGGGGAAAGGAGGATCTGAACATTAAATTCCTTCGTCTTCCAAGTCCTGTGCTGTCTGGAGAGCTCCTTCTCCTGGATTCTAAGCCGGCAGCTTGGGCCTGAAGGCGGGCGCGATGTTCTTTCATGGAAGGGCGGGCTGAGGCTCCGGCCGGGGTTCGAGAGGTTGGAACTCTGCGGTCCAAGGCGACAAGATGCTCACGCCCGGAGTGCGCGGCGGTGCTGGCGGTGCCTTTCGGTCGCCCCAGGACCTCCCTCACCTTTGGACCCAACCTTGCCTCCAGCCCCTGCAGGCTCCCCAAAACGGGGCGAGGGGGTGCGGTGCGGCGGGCGTCCACGTTGGCGTCCCTCTTCGTTCTTTCCTCAGCTCTCCGGGGGGAAGGAGACGAGGCCCGAGACCCGAGGCTCCTTTCGTCCGCGGCCTCCGGCGCCATTCGCAGACCCTCCTCCAAGCCCGCCGGGTCCCAGCCCCGGGCCCTGGCGCTCCGGTCCTCACGGCCCGCGCCGGAGAGGCCCCTCAGGACGGGCGGAGAAGCACCTGCGTCCCTCTTACTTGCTGGTCACTCGTTCTGTGGTGACGCTTGAAAAGCAAATAACAATGTGAAGCAGCAGCACGCTGTGGTCCTGTGTGTGCACGTGCGTCGCTTTCCGGAGCGGGAGGCGTGGAAGTAGCCGGGCGCGCAGCCCGGGGCGGGAGGGTAGGCGCCACCGGTGGGAGCAGGCACCCGGCGGGTAGGAGGGCAGCGCGGGCGGGCTCCACAACAGCCACTCGGAAAACAAGGGCCTATTTCCCGCCTGAAACTCCCGCCTCCGGTGCACCTGGCGCAGCTCAGAGGGCCCAACTCCCCGGCCGCCCGGCCCGTCGCCCCGCCCTTCCGGCACGCGACTCGCCGGCGGTTGGTCCGCCGCGGGAAGTTTCCGATTGGCCGAGGCTCAGAGGCGGGTGAAGAGAGCTCCGCTGGCGGCGCTCTGGAGTCGGGACCAGTCAAAGCCGTACGACAAAATGGCGGCCCCCAATTGCTGCCGGACGCGCGGCGGCAATAAGCCCGCCCCTAAGGTCAAGCGGAAGGCAAGCCCACACTGCGCCGGCGGCACTGGAGGGTTCGGGGGGGGGGGGAGGTCGGCTTACCGTCACTTCCGCCCACTGAGTTCCGTACGTCAATATGGCCACGCTCAGGTGCCTAAAGGGGGAAACTGCGACTTCCGGTCCAGAATAGGGCCTGCGGTGGGAGGGGGAAGGAAAGGGGATGAAACCATGCGAGCTTCTGATATCCGCGCTGAGGGTCGCCCCGAGAGGCCGTTTCTGAGGTGCGGGCCGGACGGTGCGGAGTCGAAGGCGGGAGCGATACTGTCGAGGGAGAGGTACTGGGTGTCCCGGGCGCTAAGTCTGGGACAAGCGGTGGTACTCTCCCTCCTGTCCCCGAAGGGGAGTGGGGAGGGCGGGGGCTGAACTGGGGGAGGGGGCTTGGCGGGAAGCTCATCTGGGGGAAGGAGCCAGACCTAGGGTTGGGATCCGAGAGGAATCGGGACAACCCAGTGAGGGGCGCCCAGCCGGTGGCCGGTCGCAGAGAGAATGGGGAAGATTAGGGTGGGGTGAGAGGGAGGGGACTTTAGGTGAGATACGACCAACCTGACCCCCCGGTTTGAGACCCATCCGGGGTGGAATATGGAGATAATTCAGAAAGGGGAATGTGTTGTTGGGAAGGAATCTTCTTTGATTCAGAGCCTATGAGTTGGGGTGATTTTTCAGGATGGGGTGAAGGTGTGAATTTGACATGAGAGCCGAAGCGGTGAAACAGGTGAGGCGGGCTGACAGGGGTGCAGTTTTAGTATCTGTGCCAGAGGATATCGGTGAAACCTGGAGCGCAGTGTAGGAAGTGGGCCAGGGGTTGAGAGTAAAAATCAACTTGGCAACTAAGAGAAATACTGGGGAAATGCAACTGAAAAACCGGATGTGATATGAGGGGTGGAGCTGGGGGTGAGGACTTGAGGTTTCAGTTGCATTGGGGCTCCCTACCACAGGGCCCCAAAACACAGCGCTAATCATTGCTGAGGAGAGGCAGCGAGGGCATGTTGGCGCTACTGAAACCCAAGAAGACGGGAAGATGTGTGAGATGAAGGGATGGGGCTCCGGGGGAGGAGGCTCTTTCTAAGGCCCGTCCCCTTCCAGCAGGAATCACAAACTTCCCAGCACTCCCTTCCTCCTGGGGGTGTGATCCTCCATGGCCTCCGATAACAGTATCATTGTGCTGGATGATGATGATGAAGACGAAGCAGCTGTGCAGCCAGGGCCCTCCCACGCGCCTCCCCACCTGGCCTCATCCCCCCACCCGGCCTCACCTCCCCACCCGGCCTCACCCCCCCACTTGGCCTCACCCCACCACTCGGCCTCACCCCCCACAGAAGCCCCTGCCTCCTCTCGGCCCCATGGGGCTGGAGGGAACAATAGCTCTGGCGGCAAGAAATGCTACAAGTTGGAGAATGAGAAGCTTTTTGAAGAGGTGAGTTCGGGGGAGAAGACTTGTATCCGGGGAGAAGGGTGGCCGCCTGGCTCTCCTGTCCTTTCCTCCCCACTAATCCTACCTGCCTGCTTTCTCTCCCCCTGCCCTGTCTCTTCCCCTCCCCC